CGGCCAAAAAAAAAAAAAAAAAGAAGAAGAAAACTTCAAAGCAAAACAGCAAAACCCTCCCCGCTGCCGAAGCGCTCCCCGCGAAGCCACCGAGCTCTTCCTTTGTCTGCCTCGCGGTGGCCGCGGCTTTTCCAAATCAAACCCGGGCCGGGCCGGGCCGAGCCGGGCCGGGCCGTGCTCAGGGGCTGCAAAGCCACCAGCCTCCCAAACCCGCATCAAACACAGCAAAAAAGGGGGGGGACGGCTCCTGCCCCGCGCCTAAACCTCCAATTTCCGCGGTTCTTCTTCTTTTTTGGGTTTTGTTTTTGTTTATTTTTGGGGGTTTTTTTTCGTTTTTTTTGCTCGCCTCCGCCAGGCTTTGATGTGAAATAAGCCTCCCCTGCCGGCCGCAATAAATCCCGAATTAAGGCGCTGCTGACTCGTGTTCGGGGCGCTAATCGCTTCCTCTCCGGGAAGGAGCGGCCCCCCCGGCCGAGGGGAGGGGATCGCGTGGGGGCCGCGCGTGATGAACGCGGCGCTGATGGAGCAGGACCTTCCGCGGAGATGACAGGCGAGGAGAAAGGGCTGATTGCCCAGAAATCAATGAAATTCCGCTCGCTCGAGCCGCTCGAAAGAGCCAATTATCCCCCCCCGCCGCCTCCCGAGGGTTTCATCGGCTGCTGCTGGGGGGGAAAGGCGGTTTTAGTGAGTTAATAAAGAAAAAAAATGGTGAGGGAGGGGGTTTGAGGGGTCTGGGGAGGAGGGAGGTGCTGAGGGGGGACCGAGGTGCTGCTCCGGACCCCCCGACCCAAACAAATCCCGTCCCGGCGGCACCAGCGCGGAAAATTCGGGATTTTGGAGCCGGTGGGAAGGAGAGGCAGAGCCCTGAGGGTCTGAGGAGCAGCCAGGCGCTGCCAAAAAACCCCAAAAAATCTTCAGGGGAGGTTTGGTGCCGGCCCAGCCCCCCCCGGGCCGGACCCGTCCCGAAGGGGCAGCACCGGGGTGGGGGAGGGGCTCTGCCTGCCACAGCCCCACCCCCCCCGGCTCTGGGGTCCCCTCCCTGTTCGGGGTCCTATTCTGGGTCTGGGGTCCCCTCCGCTTCTGGGTCTGGGGTCTCCTCCCGGTTTGGGGTCCCATTTTGGGTCTGGGGTCCCACCAGATTCTGTGTCCTATTCTGGATCTGGGGTCCCCTCCCTGTTTGGGGTCTGGGGTCTCCTCCCGGCTCTGAATCCCATTTTGGGTCTGGGGTCCCTCCAAGCTCTGGATCCCACTCTGGGTCTGGGGTCCCCCTTGATCCTGTGTCCCATTTTGGGTCTGGGGTCCCTCCCGGCTCTGGCTCCAGCCTTCCCCTGGAGTTTTGGGATCCTGACCCGCTCCTGGCCCCCCCCGGCTCTGGGGGTCCCGCCGGGGCTCTGAGCCCCCGGATCAGGGGCTGAGGGTGGGCTTGGGGTCACGGCGGGGTCCCCAGCGGGGGGGGGCTCGGCCCCAGCGACCCCCGGGTGTGGAAGGGGCTGACGCGAGCCCCCCACCCCTTTCAAGCTCGGGGGGCTCGGGCTGGCTCCCCCCCCCCCCCCCCCCTCGCCTCCCCCCCCCTCCCCCCCAACGCGGAAAAAAACCCAATTAAAAATCATTATTATTTTAAAATACAACCAAATAAATTAAAATAAAGACCGGGAGCGGGGGGTGGGGAGGGGTCTGCATGACGGGAAGCCGAGGCCCGAAATTCACGCGAAGATTCTGACAGATTCCCTGACAGACCCGGGCTCTCCCGGGCTCTCCCGGGTGTTGAACGACGCGGCCGCGCCGCTCCCGCTCCCCGCACGAAGCTTTGCCCCGGCTCACCGAGCCAGCCCCCCCGGGCGGGCGGGGCGAGCGCAGGGGCGGGCGGAGAGCAGCGCGGAACTCTCCGCCGAGCAGCGCGCCCTTCATCCGCGCCGCCGCTCTCAGGTTTATTGACTCCTCGCATGTCGGGGCTTGTAAAATAGTCAAAAAAACCACGCAAAAACATAAAAACGAGCGCGTCCCGCTTCCTGCTCTGCCTTTCAACGCTCCCGGGAGGGGAGAGAGCGCAGCGCTGCCTCCAGCGCCGCGCAGGCTGCGCGCAGGGTGCGCGGGGGATGCGCTGCCCCTTCTCGGGACCCCAACCCCGTCCCCAAAGCCTCGGCCGGCCCCGGCTCGCCTCGGCAGAGATTTTTTGGCAGCGGGGAGCAGCTGTGGGGTTCTGCCGCTTTCGGGCCACTTTTGGGCGCTTTTCCCCTTGGAACTCGGATTTTGCCAAAAATGTCCCGGGGAAATGCGACCCTCGGGGCGCTCTGTCCGACTTTGACCCCGCGCATCCTCGAGCTCTCCAGCCCGAAAAACCGGCAGGAAAAACCTCGGGAAAGCTCCGGGAATGCCCCGCAAGGCGCTGCTCGCCCTCGCTGTCCCTGCCGGGTTTCTGGGGACAAACCGCCCCTCCTGGGGTCACTCGGCAGCGCCCCATTGTCCTGGGCTCGGGCAGAGCCCCCTCGCAGCCCCGCTTTGATGCTTAAAAAAAAATTATAATTTTCAAATAAGATTATTTCACTTTCTTCCCATTTCTCAATCCGGAAATTCAATATTCCGGGGTAAAATCGCCGGAGCAGCCTGGGCTGGGAGGGGGCGGCGGGGGGAAAACGACTTCTGGGTGATGAAGGGACGCGGCCGCGCCGCAATTCTGATATTAAGGTCGTGCTCCTTCCCGAGCCTTCCACGCCAACGAGGCGTTCCCGCTCTCCCCAAATTTATACAAATCTCTCTTTAATTGGTAATCACAGATGCCGTAATTTAAGACCCCCAGCTACAGAGCTTTCATATTAGCGGCTGATCTATGACTGTAAATCGCCTGAAATCATCAGCTCCGGGGAGCGGGGCAAGGGGAGAGATCCTCGCTCGGAAATATCAGCGCTCGCACATCATTTTCTGCCGGCGATGATTTATCTCGGCCAGCGCCATAAACAACACGAGCCTCTCTCCCAAACACGCGCACAATGGCAGCCGCGCTGCTGCTGACATGTTTATTGTCATAAATCAGAAAGGGGGGAAGAAGGGAGGAAAAAAAGAAAAAAAGGGAGAGGAGAGGTTGCGAGGAGGGAGAGAAAATCTCCCCTAAAAATATCAATGAAATGCCTCGATGGGTAGGAACACGGCGAGCCCCGCGCGGGGAAGAGGGATGGCAGGAAATGAAGACGGCGATTTGTCACATTTTACGACAATAACATTAATAACAAACAATAAATTTACATGGACACACGGACGCGCTAGGAATCGGGAAGCCCCTGCTACTTACAATAATCCAGCCCCGGCGTGCCTCGGCGCTTCCCAGAATTGTTTTATTGCCGGCTCCTCTCCCTCTCTCCTCCCTCCTTCTCTCGCTCCCTCTCGCTCTTTTCTCTCCCCTTTTCCTTTTTTTCCCTCTCTCCCCGGCGTCCCTGCGCTCGCTGTTTTTTAAAGGACAGTGGAATTTCACGTCAGACACAGGGAGACCATGGCTGCGATTTTCCTGACGAATACATATCTATTCTGCAACCTCGGCATTAATTATTTAATGAGCCACGTGATGGGGAAGGGGGAAGGGGGTCTCTCCGTTCCGCACTCCAAGGACCACTGTGACCTTCCACCGGAACAGCATTTTTTTTTAAAAAAAAAAAGAACTTTCCAACCCAGCGCTGGCCGCGGACCCCTCTGCGCGGCGAGGGGCGCCCAATTCTCTGTTAAACACCGCGATTTTGGGTCATTTCCCCACGCCGAGAGCGCCCAAACCCTTCCCTGAACCCTCCCTGGGACTTGGCTTTGTTGGACCTGGCTCGGCCGGAGCAAGTCCCGATTTCCCCCGATTTTTCGGGATTTTTTCCCCCTCTGATTTGATCACAAATCTCGCCCAGAGCAGCTGCGAATATTTCCGTTCTATTTTTAAAGCTCCCCCTGACTCCCGGGCCTTCCCTGTTATTATTTGGCCGCGTTTTATTGCGTTAGAGCTGGAGGAGGGGGGAGGAAAAAGAGGGAAAAAATCAAATTTTGAGTCCGAGGAGAGCTGCCAAGTGCCAGGATCTTGGGAAATAAATAAATAAAAAAGAAAAGAGACAGAAGGACACAGAGAGAGCAACAAAGGAGAGCGCTGGGAAAGGCCGCGGAGCAGGAGCCGGCCGGGGGGGAGGGACCCCCCAAAATCTGGCACCAAAACCTCCAAAACCTCGAGGTCCGAGCAGCCCCCACCCCTCCGAGCACCCCCAAATTCCCGACCCCCGAAGCCCTGCCGGGATAACCCGGAGGGAGCTCAAATGAAAGGCGGAAATAGAGAATTCAAAGCTGAAAAAAGCGGATTTTGGGCTCGCTTGGGGGCGGACGGGCCGGGAAATGCTCGGGTCTCAACAGCCTCGATCATTTCTGCATCGATTTTATCGAGTGCGAGGCTGGGAGGGATCAAAAATCCCATTTCAAAGGGTTCCTGGGGGCTCCTCCAGAGAGGAAACCCCGCGCGGGGAGGGAATTTTAGGAGAACTTCGGGTCAGTTCAGAAGCCGCAACTTTCACTTCATAAAAACTCCTTTTTTTTTTTTTTCCCTATTTTTTCCCCCCTTTTTTCGCGTGTGAACGGGCAAACACATTTAAGAAGAGAAAAGAACAACAACAAAAGGGAGCAGAGCCACCGCAGGCGGCAAACGGAGCGCGGAGCCCCCCACCCACCCTTCCCCTCCGCCCGCGTTTTTTGGGGTCGTTTCGTGGGAAAAAAAAAAAAAAAAAAAAAGGCAGAAAAAACCTCAATTTTTTTTGTTTTGTTTTAAAAACCCCCCCGCTTCAAAGGGTCGGGAAGGCGGCCGTAAGCAGGGCCGAGCCCGCGGAGGTGCCGCGATCAAAGGCGCCGCTTTGTGCGGACAAAACGCGCGCTCATCCCGCGCCGGGCCCGCCTTGATGCGCGGAGCGATCCGCGCTCACTGCGCCCCATCAATCTGTCCGCGGGCGCGGAGAAATCCCGAGCGGCCCTCGGGGCTCCCGGAGCCGCCCCCGCGGCCAGAGCCTGCGGAATATATTGAATTTTTCTGGGTTTTTCGCCGCCTCCCGCCAGCCCCGGCTGCCCGCTGGGCATGGGCTCCGCGGTGTCCGCACGCAATCCCATTTTTTGGTACAATTTGGGGGGTTTTGGGTCCAATTTGGGGATTTTGGGAGGATTTTTTTTGTACAATTTGGGGGTTTTTGGAGGGTTTTGGGTCCAATTTGGGGATTTTTGGAGGATTTTTTGGTCCAATTTGGGGATTTTTGGAGGATTTTGGGTCCAATTCGGGGATTTTGGGGGGATTCTGGGCCCCATTTGAGGATTTTGGGCCAATTGGGGGATTTTGTTTTACCCAATTTGGGGGGGTTTGGAGGATTTTGAGTCCAATTTGGGGATTTTTGGAGGATTTTGGGTGCAATTCGGGGATTTTGGGGGGATTCTGGGCCCCATTTGGGGATTTTGGTCCAATTGGAGGATTTTGTTTTACCCAATTTGGGGGGGTTTGGAGGATTTTGAGTCCAATTTGGGGATTTTTGGAGGATTTTGGGTGCAATTCGGGGATTTTGGGGGGATTCTGGGCCCCATTTGGGGATTTTGGTCCAATTGGAGGATTTTGTTTTACCCAATTTGGGGGGGTTTGGAGGATTTTGAGTCCAATTTGGGGATTTTTGGAGGATTTTGGGTGCAATTCGGGGATTTTGGGGGGATTCTGGGCCCCATTTGGGGATTTTGGTCCAATTGGAGGATTTTGTTTTACCCAATTTGGGGGGGTTTGGAGGATTTTGAGTCCAATTTGGGGATTTTTGGAGGATTTTGGGTGCAATTCGGGGATTTTGGGGGGATTCTGGGCCCCATTTGGGGATTTTGGTCCAATTGGAGGATTTTGTTTTACCCAATTTGGGGGGGTTTGGAGGATTTTGAGTCCAATTTGGGGATTTTTGGAGGATTTTGGGTGCAATTCGGGGATTTTGGGGGGATTCTGGGCCCCATTTGGGGATTTTGGTCCAATTGGAGGATTTTGTTTTACCCAATTTGGGGGGGTTTGGAGGATTTTGAGTCCAATTTGGGGATTTTTGGAGGATTTTGGGTGCAATTCGGGGATTTTGGGGGGATTCTGGGCCCCATTTGGGGATTTTGGTCCAATTGGAGGATTTTGTTTTACCCAATTTGGGGGGGTTTGGAGGATTTTGAGTCCAATTTGGGGATTTTTGGAGGATTTTGGGTGCAATTCGGGGATTTTGGGGGGATTCTGGGCCCCATTTGGGGATTTTGGTCCAATTGGAGGATTTTGTTTTACCCAATTTGGGGGGGTTTGGAGGATTTTGAGTCCAATTTGGGGATTTTTGGAGGATTTTGGGTGCAATTCGGGGATTTTGGGGGGATTCTGGGCCCCATTTGAGGATTTTGGTCCAATTGGGGGATTTTGTTTTACCCAATTTGGGGGGTTTTGGAGGATTTTGAGTCAAATTTGGGGATTTTTGGAGGACTTTGGGTCCAATTTGGGGATTTTTGGTCAAATTTGGGGATTTTTGGTCCATTTTGGGGATCTTTGGGTGGATTTTTGATCCATCTTGGAGATCTTTGGGGGGATTATTTTGTCTCGTTTGGGGAACTTTGAGGGTTTTTTTGGCCTCAGTTTCGGGGATATTTGGGTGGATTTTTGGTCTTATTTTGGGGATCTTTGCGAGGATTCTTTTGTTTACTTTTGGGATTCTTGAGGGGATTTTCTGATCCAGTTTGTGGATCTTTCGGTGGATTCTCTTGCTCCAATTTTACCATCTTTGGGTGGATTTTTTCCTCCAATCCGTGCATTTTTGGGTGATTTTTGGCCCAGTTTTTGGGCAGGGATAACAAGGGGCTCCCCAAGGGTCCCGGAGCGCCCTAGCAGCCAGAGGAGGAGGAGGAGGAGGAGGAGGAGGAAGAGGAGGAGGAGGGGGAGCAGAGGGACTCTGCAAACAAAGGAATTTCTGAAAACCAGCGCGGAGCTCAGCCCCGGCCAGGCCGTGCCTCCTCTGCTCCACTCGGCCTTTGCTCTTGGCGCTTTTTTCCCCCCCAAAAATTAAATTTGCGTGGCCAGCCCCGCGATCATCACCCAAAATCCAACTCCCGACCCAAAACAAGGCACAAAACCCGATTTTTCCACCGCCAAACGAGCCGAGCAGCGCTGTCAGGCCCAGAAGGATGAAAGCAGAGAAAGCTGAAATAAATCAACTTTTAGGAGTTTTTTTTCCCCCCATTTTTGCTCCTCGGGGCCGGCCAGGCCGGGCTTTGCTGGGCTGGGGGATGAGCTCGGTGTCGGGCCTGGGGGAGGTCAGGGGCTTTGGAGGTCACTCCCGGGCTGTAAAACCCGGCTAATGGGGCAGAAAAGTGAACTCTGCGTGACCCCGCCCGGCCGGGCCGCCCGGGACAGCCCGGGCCAGCCAAAATCCCGGGATTGACCGCCCCGCACGGCCTAACCCGGGCCGGCCGCGGCTCCTGGGCCAGGCCTAAACCCGGGGGGGTTTAAACCGGGGATGGTCCTGGGACAGGATTAAACCGGGAATGGTCCTGGGGTGGTTTAAACCGGGAATGGTCCTGGGATGGATTAAACCGGGAATGTTCCTGGGACAGGATTAAGCCGGGAATGTTTCTGGGACAGGATTAAACCGGGAATGTTCCTGGGACAGGATTAAACCGGGAATGTTTCTGGGACAGGATTAAACCGGGAATGTTCCTGGGACAGGATTAAACCGGGAATGGTCCTGGGACAGGATTAAACCGGGAATGTTCTGGGACAGGATTAAACCGGGAATGGTCCTGGGACAGGATTAAACCGGGAATGTTCCTGGGAAAGGATGAAACCAGGAAACGTTCCCAGTTCCTGGGACAGTTTTAAACCGGGAATATTCAGAGTTCCTGGGATGGCCTAAAACCGGGAATATTTCTGGGAAAGGCTTAACCCGGGAATGTTCCCGGTTCCTGGGACAGTTTAACTCGGGAATATTCGAATTTCCCGGGACAGTTTAACCCGGGAATGTTCCCAGTTCCTGGGACATTTTAACCCTGGAATACTCGAATTTCCTGGGACAGTTTAACGCTGGAATATTCGCATTTCTCAGGACAGTTTAACCCGGGAATGTTCTCAATTCCTGGGACAGTTTAACCCGGGAATGTTCCCAGGTCCCGGGACAGTTTAACCCTGGAATACTCGACTTTCCTGGGACAGTTTAACGCTGGAATATTCGCATTTCTCAGGACAGTTTAACCCGGGAATGTTCTCAATTCCTGGGACAGTTTAACCCGGGAATATTCGCACCCAGCGGCCGCTCCACCAAACCCTCCCCAAACCGTCCCGTGAGAGATTTAACTCGGGAAAAAACGGGTCAAAACCAGGAAAAACCCGACTTTTGCGCATAAACCCCCAAATCTCCACCCGGAGCAAAAACCCGAGCGCGCCCAGCCCCGAACCCAGACGGAATTAAAGAAAAAACCCCAAACTCCTCTCGCCAGCGAGACCCCCCAGAAAACCGAGGGAAAAGAAAAACCCCGCACGAGAACTCGCGGGGAGTTTCTCTTTCCACCTCTGTTGGTCAAAAACCCCTTTTCCCCCCGAATTTCCCCCGAATTCGCCCTCCCCGAGGCGCGCCAGCTCCGTTACCTGCTCCGCTCCCAAATCCTTTTTCCACCGCCCTCATGCTCGGGGTGCTTCCTTCCGAACTCGGGGGGCGCTGCTGGAAATTTGCTTTTTCTCCCCCAAAACCAGAACCTTTCACCTGGCGGGCGCGGGGTTTGTTATTAGCAATATTCCCGATCTAATTCTTATTAATTCTAACGGTCATTACGGCCCCTGAAGGTTCCTTGGAGGGCTCCGGGTGCTTTTTTGCCGCCAGACGGTCTGCGGAGATTTGCTGTTGAATAACAATGGGAAAAGGGATAAGTATTTAAAGAAAAGAAGTGATTAATGATTTTCTGTATAATTCTCGCATTTTTCTTGCCTTCTGTCCGCTCCTAATGGCTGTGAACTTTCGGGTCCTATAGAAATCTTCTTTTCTCCCCCTTGCATCCCATTCACGCTCCCCCAGCTTTGATTTGCCCCCACAGACCCCGCATTCCTGCCAGCATATGCCTCCTTTTTTTTTTTTTTTATTTTCCTCCTTTTTTTTTTTGGTTTAAAACACCCATTTCTGGCCATTCTTAGGAGCCCCCTCTCGAAATTCGCACCCTCTTCCCAAGCGCAGCGGATCAAAGGGAGGGACGGGGAATAAAAATGCAGCAGCGACCAAACCAAGGGCGCCGAGCCCCGAGGAATCCGGAGAAAATACAGCCCGGCAGGGAAAATAAATAAAGGCGAAAAGAAACTCGCAAGTTTCGCTGTCGCCACCTCTAAAACCGCGAGAATTAAACCAAAATCCGGCCATAAATCCGATTTTTTTTTTTTTTTTACATCACACCGAGCAGAGCCTGGACCATGTGACCGCAGAATATTATTTATTTTAAAGCACTAAAAAGGGAAAAAAAAATAAAAAATGAACAGCGGCAGGGTTCTGTGTGAACGGGGGGCGGCGGGATTTGGGGGGGACAATTTCAGTGCCACAAGCGCGGGGTGAGCTCGGGCAGAGCCGGGTCCGTGCTGAACCCAAACATCCCCGGCCTGCCTTTGTCTCGGGACAAACGGGGCCGAAATTCGGGTCCCGGGGGGCATTTTTGGTGCGTTCTGCGAATATTACATTTACATTTACATTTACATTTACATTTACATTTACATTTATATTCATACCCCTATTATTTTTACACTTACACCTAGCCTTATATGATGTTTACACTTCAATTTAACATATTTTTATTCCCATTATCATCATTATTTCAGAGCCGAACCTCCTTTCCTTCAGCTGCCTCCACCCCCCTCGAGGACAATCATCTTTTTTTTTTCTTTTTCACTCCATTCCTAACCCAGAACCGCGCTGGGTTGGTTTTTTTTTAGTTTTTTTTTTCTCTCTCGATCCTTTCCCAGCCGAAAAAGAAAATGAAAATTAATACAGGAGCTGCGGCTCCCAAAAGGAGCCATTTGTCTTCCTGATTATCTATTTGCTTGTCAGGCCGGGAGCCGCGCACGAGAGCTCCTTTTGTGAGCCCCAAATCCGCCCCAAAACCCCCGCCAACATCTGGGCCGAGATTGGACTCATTAACGCATTAACTACCCCGGAGAAGGAGGGATTTCAAAACAAAAAACAGCAATAAAAATAGAGATAAAGAAAAGCGGGAGGATCTCTGGAGAAACGCGGGGCAGCAAAGCGTTAATGAGCGGCCCCGCTCGGGCTGGGCTGGAAAAAGAGAATTAATCTGCGCTTTGAGCAAATAAATCATCAGATCCGAGCCTTAGCACTACTTAGGGCTGCTCAAACATCTTTTGTTTTCATTAGGGGGCTGCGGGCCGCGCCGCTGACAGCGACAAAAAAACCAAAAAACGGGGGGAAAATCGGGGAAAATTACAAATAAACGGATTGTTCACGGCTTTAAATAAATATATTTATTTTTCCACCCAATAAATAACCCGAATCCAGGCTCGCCCCCCGGAAAGAACCACGCAGGGGCAGCTTGGCCATGGAGAATTTATTCCCGAGCGGCGTTTGGGGTTTTGGGCATTTCCAGGTGAACCCGGAGGACAAAGGGGGACGGGGGCGGCCGGGGGGGGTCGGGGCCGCCCTTCCCCCCAGGCCCGAAATTCCCATTTTCAGCCCCAGATCGGGGCAGGGAGGAGCTCTGGGGGCGCTCCCAGTTCATCCCAGTTCATCCCAGTCCCCCCCACCCACAATGACCCCGCTGGGTTTCAAAAGAAACCCAAAAATCCCCAAAAAGGCTCTGACCCCGCTCCATTCTCTTCATTGGTTTGTCCAGCACCTCCTTCACCCAATTTTCTTTTTTTTTTTAATTTTGCCTCCGGTTTCACAAAGTTCCCAACTCCCCGGAGGAGGTTTTGGGGTTTTTTTGTTGAGTTTTGGTCGTTTTTTGGATTTTTTTTTCTCTCCAGTTGCAACTCTTTGGGACAACGGAGCAGAAACTTCGGGATTGGGAGGAAAGAGAGGAGGGGAAGGAGGAGAGGGGAGGAAATTGATAAAGAAAATGGAAAAAGGGGGAAAAAGATAGAAAAAAGGAAAATTAAGGAAGAAAAACAAAGACAAAAAAGGGAAAATTAAAAAAAAAAAGAAAGAGGGGAAAGGGAAGAGGGGAAGAAGGGAAGAAGGAAGGGGAAGAAAATTTATAAAGAAAAATTTTTAAAGAGGAAAAAAGTGGAAAAAACACAAAGAAAAACAAAGAAAAAAAGGAAAAAGAAGGGGAAAATGGAAAGGAAGATTTTTAAGAAGAGGGGGAAAACGGAGAAAATAAGAGGGGGAAAAAAAAGAAAATTCACCAAGAAAAAACAATTAAAAACAAAGGAAAGAAAAAATTAAAAAGGGGAAAAAGGAGGGGAAAAAAAAAAGAAGAATAAAAAGAAAAAAGGAGGAGAAAAAAAGGAAAAAAAGGAGAAAAAAAAAGAAAAAAAGGAGGAGAAAAAAGCAAAAAGGGGTGGTGGAGAAGCTGCAGTTGGTGGGGAGAAGCCGAGGCTCATTTATTAAAGCGCGGCGGCTGTCGGGGTAATAGCAGACATAAGGTCCGTCCTTTGTACGGAGAGTAAACATGACAAATGGGGCCGAGCTCGGCGTGATTAAAGATGAAACAAGGATCCATCTCAGCCACATCGCCAAAAAAAATCCTTCTGCAGCCTCCTCTTCCCGGAGCTGCCCCGGCTTTGTGCTCAGCTGGCCCCACCACAACCAGCCCGGCCCCGCGTTGGAATCGTGCGAAAATGGCCAAAATTCAAATTATTGGTGGGAATAAACAGCACCCGCCTGTCCCCCAGGTTAAAATCGGCGTGAAAATGACCAAAATTCAAATTATTGGTGGAAATAAACACCCCCCGCCTGTCCCCCAGGTTAAAATCGGCGTGAAAATGACCAAAATTCAAATTATTGGTGGAAATAAACACCCCCCGCCTGTCCCCCAGGTTAAAATCGGCGTGAAAATGACCAAAATTCAAATTATTGGTGGAAATAAACACCCCCCGCCTGTCCCCCAGGTTAAAATAAAAATAAACATTCAACTTATTAGCCATAAATAATGAGCACCCCGTCTGTCCCCGCTGTTCGAGTCAGTGTAAAAAATGATAAAAATTAAAATTATTGTGTTTCCTTCTCTGCACTCGCACGAGTTCACACCCCAAACACGCACACATCCAGCGGGGCGGTCATGGGGCGGCGGCCCGTCCGTGGGATCGACTTTGGGATCCTCCTCCTTGTGGGGATCGACTTTGGGATCCTCCTTGAGGGATCTGTGATTGGGATCCTCCTCCTTGTGGGGATTGAGTTTGGGATCCTCCTCCTTAGGGGATCTGGGTTTGGGATCCTCCTTGAGGGATCTGTGATTGGGATCCTTGTGGGATTTGTGTTTGGGATCCTCCTCCCTGTGGGATCAAGTTTGGGATCCTTGTGGGATCTGGGTTTGGGATCCTCCTTTTGGGATCTGCTTTCAGCATCCTCCTCCTTGTGGGATTTGAGTTTGGGATCCTTGTGGGATCTGGATTTGGGAAAAAAAAGGGGGGGAAATACAGAAAAAAGGGGGGGAAGATGTGAAAATATTAAAAAGGTTGGGGGGGAAATAGGTGAAAATGTTAAAAAATGGGGGGGTATGTGGAAATTAAAAAAAAGGGGGGAAATATGTGGAAATACAAAAAAAGGGGGGGAGAAGATGTGAAAATACACAAACACAGACATACACACAAAAAGGTGGGGATATTTGGAAATTCCAAAGAAAGTGGGGGGAAATGTGGAAATAAACAAAAGAAAAAGGGGAAATATGTGAAAACACACAAAGGGAGGAAGTGCAAAAACACACAAAAAAGGGGGAAAGCGATGTGAAAACACACACAAAAAAGGGAAAATATAAGGGGAAAACAAATTTTTAAAAGGGGGAGGGGGGAAGAAAAGCAGAATTACTGAGCTGATCCTTTAATGGGTTCTTTCCCCCCTCAAAAAATCACCAAAAAAAAAAAAAAGTGCCACAAATTCTTTGGAAGGTGGGATTTGCTTTTAAAAAAAAATAAATTAAAAGGGAAAGGTTCTAAAAATGCCCCCAGCAGCGAGGTGCAAATCTCCACCTCCCGGACGTGGATTCCTGACCGAGGGTTTTGCTGCGGCCCCGGACGCGCTCCCCGAGCCCCGAGCCGGTGCAAATTCGCATTTGTGCACTCGCAGCTCTGCCGGGCCAGCGCGGAATTCATTATCCACAAAAGTTCCCCCTGCACGCTGGAAAGCGCGAGCGCGGGGGCTGCGGGTTGGTAAAGGTCTCACTCAAAAAAAATAGAAAAAAAAAGAAAGAAAAGGAAAAAGAAGGAGGGAAAAGAAAAAGGGAGGAAAAAAGGGGAGGGAAAAAAGGGAGGAAAAAAAAGTGAGGGAAAAAGGGAGGGAAAAAAAAAAGGGAAGGAAAAAAATAAAAAAGAGGGCAGGGGAGGGGAAAATAATAAAACTTTACTCAATCCGCTACTTAAATACAAATTAGGGAGGGAAAAAAGGGAGGAAAAAAAAGTGAGGGAAAAAAAAGGGAGGAAAAAAAAAGGGAAGAAAAAAAAGGGAGGGAAAAAAAAAGGGAAGGGGAAAAAAAGGGAAGGGAAAAAAAAAAGAGGGCAGGGGAGGGGAAAATAATAAAACTTTACTCAATCCGCTACTTAAATACAAATTACCAAAACATAAAACTTCACTTAGGAAGATTCAACAGCCGTAAAAAAAAAGTAAAAAAAAAAAAAAAAAAAAAAAAAAGAAAAGTAGCCTGCAAGAAACTGGAGGAGGATGGTAACAGAGACTTCAAAGGCACATGGCCAAGCAGAGCAATAAAAATTTATGGAGGATGTAATTATAGCGCTCTGCAAACGGGCGCTCGTAAATCTCCGCCGGGCGCTCCTTTTACAAGCGCCGCGCCGCGATCTGCCCGAGACTCCGAGGTGCTACTCCAAGTATAAAGCCCCTTTCGGCTGCCCCCCTTTCACTTACCCGTGCTTACGTGGACTTTTTTCATCCAGGGGTAAACCACGGGCTCCCCGCGCGGGCCCGCGGGGCCCGGCCCGGCCGGGGGCGGGCTGGGGGCGCCCGGCGGAGCGCGGGGCTGGCCCGAGCCCCGGCACGACGGGTACAGCTGCTCCTTGCAGGCTGCCCGCGCCTCGTACATCGCCTCATGCTGGAAGGAGCTCTCCCGGTGCCTCTGGCTGCCGTAGTATTCCGGCGAGTGATTGGGAAGGTAATCGCTGTGGGAATATTCTTCACAGGGTGGGAACTTGGGGTCCACATAGTTGGAGTTGATCAAAAACGAGCTCATGGCCATTAATTGCTTAGAATTGCACGCACGCGGGGGGAAAAAACAAATTATAGATCTAGATATGGATATATATATGTATCTCCCTCGCTCCCTCTGTCTCTTTCTCTCCCTAAAATTTATTCCTGCGCCCCCCGCCCCCCCGCCTCCCGTTCCTCGTTTTCCTGCTTGCGGAGCCCTCCTACTCACTGTCAAGTGAACAAAGTTGAGTCCATGTGACAGCGCGGGCCAATGGCGAGGGCCACGGCGGGCCCCGGATCAGGAAACCTGCCCAGCCCGGGCTCTCCCGGGGCCCCCCGGCATCCCCGGGGAGGCGGCCGGGGGGGTCCGCTGCCCTCCGGCCACCTCGGGCCCCTCCGGGCCGGCAGCGCCCCGGGGCGAGCAGCGACAGCCCCGGCTGGCCCACCCCCCCCGGGGGTGTGTCCTGGGCTCGGGACCCCCCCAGAAAGGCAATAATTAGAAGGCGAGGTAAAAATGCTTTTCCAGGGGGTTCGGGGGGGTCTCGGGCGCTGCCCCCCCCCCCCCCCGGCCCGCTGCGCGCCGCCCAGCCGGCCCCGCCCCCGGGCCAGCGCAGCTGAGCCGCGGTCGCCACCCCCCGAGCCGGGGTCGCCACCCCCCGAGCCGGGGTCGCCACCCCCCGAGCGGGGCCGGGGGAGATGCGGGAGCCTGGCAGAGATGGATGGGGCTGCCGGGGATCGATAAGGAACCCATCAGCTAATTCGGGGTGCGGGGACCCCCGAGCCCCCTCCGGCCGCGGGAGGAGCCGAGCCCCGCTCCTGATGAGCAATTACAAAAGGCAATTAGCCCGAGCCCTGCCGCAGCTTCGGCTCGCCCTTCTGGCAGTGGAGGCGCTTTAGGGGGCACGGCGAGCCCGGCAAACCCCCCCGGCACCCCCAATTCCTGCGGCAGACCCCAAACGCGGCCGCGGCCGCGGAGAGCGGCCAAGAATTGTTATTTATTCCTTAATCGGTGTCAGCGCCCAGCCCGCACCAATTACAGCCCAGCCCCGCTCTGAAGCGGCAGCAAGAACGCCCGCGACCCCTCCCCAAACCCCCAAACCCCCCCAGCCCAAATCCCCCCGCTGCTGTCTACGAGCCCATAAAGTTTTATCGCAGCAGCGCCGGAGTTGAGCTGAGGTCAAACCCAAAGCGTTTCTTTGGAGCCCTAAAGCGCTTTTCTGGTTAAACCCCCCTTCCACCCTTCTGCTTTTTGAGTTTTTGGGGTTTTTTTGGGGGGGAACTCCCGGGTTTGTAGTGTTTGTGTCAACTACATATTCCCCTAGATACGAATTTGTGACCCAACTTCCTCTACACAAATTCGGATCTACAGGGTACATATAGAAGACAGTTGCGTCCTCCTCGGTCTCAGATCTTCTCCTACCGCCACCATTCTCTTCTGGGGCAAAATCTGGGGCTTTTGGCAAATCGGGGCTGCGCCTCGGGAAAATTCGCTGCTGCGGGGGAAAGGCGATTCATTAGCGCAGCGAGGCTGCAGAGCGCCAAGAGAGCAAAATCGGGATTTTCCCACCTTCCTCCCCACACCTTGGGCGTTATTTTGGGGTGAAAAAATCAGTTCCTGGGGTGGAAGTGGAGGTGCAGGCGCGCAACGAGACGCGGCCCCAAAAATCCGCCTTTTAAAAGAGAAATGCCCCAAGCTCCGTCCCCACCCCGCCCTGGAAGTCTCGTCACGGTTTTCTGGTGGGCAGCGCAAAGATTTCATCCATTTTTCGTTCTTGGAGGTCACCCAAGGTTTGGGTTTAGCCGCGCGTGTGCGGGGAAATGATAAAAAAAAAGAAAAAAAAAAAGAAAAAAAAAGAGAAAGAAACAGATGAAAAGAAATACAGAATGTAAAGGCAGATGGGACGACAGGTTTTTTTTAATGACAGGCAATTCTTTTTACAACCCGAGAAAAAGATCAAAGGCGTTTCATTTCCGAAAAAAGGGATATAAAGCAATAAAATATTCATACTGTCTAGGTAATGAACCTTCATTCGGAACTAATGAGGGTAGCATCATGTTGAGATTTCGTTTAAAATTACAGTTGCCCGAGAGATTCAAAGCAGAGCAGCCCCCTTTCTTTTCTTTCTTTTTTTTTTCTTTTTTTTTTAAATTTTTTTGGTGTGTTTCAAAAGGCAGAACATTTTCAGGTCAAGTATCTCCCGAATTAATTGCATTTAAATGCCGCAGCAGAGAGGGCATCAGGGAAAAGCTGCGTTTACAATTCCTGTCAATAGATTCGGCGGATTCCAAGAACTCCCGCATTTTCCCTAAAAAAAAAAAATTAAGATTTCTGGCCAATGAAATCCCCGAAATCCAGTCGGGATTTTTCAGGTACTTTCAGGTGAATAATCGCTTTTCCTGCTAAAAGCTCCCAGCTAAACCCAGAATAACCAAGCGGCGCTTTAAGAACGAACCAAAGGCATCGAACAAAACCCCAAAATCATTTAAAAAACCCGAATTTCCAGCAAAAGCAGCGAAATCTTTTTGCACCGAGCAGAATTTCCCACCTCCCGCAGCAGCAGCGCCTCAAAATTCACCTTTTCCTCTAAAACCTGCCCGGACAGTGAGGAGCCAAAGCAACAACGCCACAAAACAACAGAACCGGTCCCATCGCAGCCCCTTTGATTTTTAATTTCTTGTTAATCCCCTCTTTATCTCTTTGAGACTTTATTCCTCCTTCCCGACCCCTCCTCACCGATTTCTTTTATTCCATTTTCTCCCGCCCAGCGCTAGCAATAACCAGGCCTTATTCTCTATTTTTAACCCCCTCCCACATCCCTTTAAAAAAAAAAAAATCGGGTTTTTTTTCCGCTCGGCGGTGACACCGAGGGCCGGCCTTTGCCAACCAGCACCCCTAGCGTCTGCCAGAACCCATTTCCCCCACCACACCTCCAAGAAATCTCCTTTTTGGCCGCCTCCGATCCCAAATTTCCAAACCCCCCCCCCTCCCCTCACCTTGGGAAGTTTCTCACGGAATTTTTATTTTTTGGGGTTTTTTTTTGTTGTTTTTTTTTTCCCCCAATTTCAAAGCCAGCTCTGGCAGCGCGGGGTGACCCCGCTGTGCTTTTTTAGGAGGGGATCCCCAGATTCCTGCCCAGCCCCCCGGGGGTCCCCCAGCGCTGCCGGGACCCCAGCCCGGGGCCGGGAGCCCCCGGCCCGCCGCGCTCCTACCTTGGCTCCTCGCGGCTCCTCCTCCTCCTCGCTGGAATCCCCGGGGGGATCCGAGGCTCTCCCGCAAAAACTTGAGGAGGTTTTGAGGGCGAAATCCTCCAAAAAAACCCAAAAATCCCCCCCGAGCCCCGCGTGGCCCCCTCCCCTGCCCGCGCTGCCCTTTCCCATCCCAACCCCTGATTTCCCTCATTTCATTTCCCTCATTTCATTTCCCTCATTTCCCTCCTTTCCCTCATTTCATTTCCCTCCTTTCCCTCCCTCCCCCTCTCTTTTCTCGCTGCATTTTTCGGGGTTCGGGGTTGTTGGGGGGTCCGGCGCTGCCCCTCCCCCGCCTTGTCCCGGCGGGGCCGCGTTGGCCGCGGAGGCCCCGGCGCGTTCCGGGCTGGGAAAGGCGCAACTTTCGGTATTAATCTCATACTTTGGCAGTCTTTGTTAAACAGCGAGGCGTGTCCGCCGCCTGACCCGCGCTTCACCCCGAATTTTCAATTTTTTTCTGGTTTTTTTTTTCCTTTTCCAGCCCCGAGGTGTTTTCCCCGCTCCAATCTTTACCCTCTCCAAAGATGGAGATTTTTATTTTTAAAATTTTCTTTATTTTTCCCTTTCGTCCCCCTCAGCGCTTCAGAAACGCCAAAGCTTTGGGGGATTTTAATTTTAATTTTTTTTTTTTTTTTTAAATTCGGGTGAGATTTCTCCCACTGGAGGTCGGAGGAGTTTCTCCAGGGCAGAATTTAAATAAATAAAAAACCTCGCGGCGCCTCTGAGGTGGATCAAGGAGAGGTGGTGATGAGCCCACACCTGCTTTGCCAGGGGGAAATCCCGATTTCAACCCCGGCCCGCTCCAAACCCATCAGAACGCCCCCAAAAATGCAATATTTGGCTGAAGGGAACATTTCGGCACGCGAGGAGCTGCGGGCAGGGCCGGGCTCCGCGTCCCTGCGGGAATTCCCTTTTGAGCCCCGCTCTGACCACCAGCTCCGACACGGCCCTAAAGGGCGATCGGGGACGTAAATCGCGATTAAAAAGCGTATTCAATCGATTGTCGGGCGGAAAAAAACCCCGATAATAGGGGCAAAAAAAAAAAAAAACAAACAAACCAGAAACGGCAGAAAAAGCCTGACCCCGCGCGGGAGGGAGATAAATTCAAAATATCCTTGGAAATGATCACTTTAATTTCCTCTCCCCTCCCCGCCCTGCCCTGCCCTCCCCTCGCGGCCCGAAATTGAAATTCAAACATCGCCGGGCAGAGCTGCCCCCGAACGCAGCCACAAATATTCCGCTTTTTTGGGGTTTTTTTTTATTGCCACCAAACGCTACCTGCTGGTTTTGATCTGCCGAGCACAAACGGGTTTATGGGGCGTTACCTGCGCGGCGGAGCGCGCAGGGCAGCGCGGGGCGCAGATCAGGGCAGCAATTACCGGGGCCGGAGATGGATCGCCCCCAGCCCCCAGAAATACCCAGCGAATTCACGGCGATTAATTAAACCTCGCCTTATCAGGCCGAACAAAACGTTTCTCCCGGATTTCTCAGCTCCGAGCCCGCGCGGGGAAAGCAAATGGATTTTCCAGAGCGCCTTTCCCAGGGCTCTAAGATTCGCCCTTCGTTCTCTCCCGAGGGGAAAAAAATGAGCCTCGGTAGGGGGATTTAATCCCTGGAAATGTTTAAAAGCCGGCAGCCAGCAGGGAAAAAAAATAAAATAAAACACATAAATAAAAATATAAACATAAAAATAAATACAATAAAAAATAAAGCTATTTTTAAGAAAGAGAAAATTGGCAGGGATTTTAAAAAATATATATTTTTTTTTTTTAAATTCCATTTTTTTCCAGGAGGGTTCGCCTCGCTCCG